GGTGCATAAGCATGGCATATAGTAGCCACTAATTAAATATTCATTTATGACTGAATTAATTTCTTTGGAACTGTGGCATTGACTCTCTTTTCTCATAATTCTTACTCTTATGGATTGAATTCTGTCCTTCTCTCCAATTCATATGTTGAAGCCCTAACTCCCAGGACCTCAAAATGTGACCTTATTTGGAGACAGAGTCTTTATAGAGGTAATCGTTTTAAAACAGGTTCATTGGTGTGGGCCTTAATCCAATCTAATTGGTGTTTTAAGAGACAGGTGCATGTCCGTGAACATTGAGACATTTGATGCTTCCATAAGCCAAAGAAAGCCAAAGATTGCCATCAAAGCCCTAGAAGCCAGGAGAGGCCTGGGACAGATTCTCCCTCAGAGCTCTCAGAGGGAACCAGCCCTGTCCATTCCTTGATCTTAGACTTCTAATTTCCAGATCTCTGAGAAGCTATATTTCTGTGGTTTAAGACAACTCATGTATAGTATTTTTTATGGCCATCCAAGGAAACCGGTCCTCCGTAGAGACCAGAGTGGAGACCTATATGAAATTATCTCTGAAGCCCCTTTACCTTCCCTAAATTTGTATTACCCAGATCATATTCAGTCTCCTTTTCCTTTCTGCTGAATCCTGCCCATTCCTGGCTTCTTGGGCAATGATCTCTCTGGGTCTCCTTTCCAGTGGATGGCTCATAATATTCTCCTTTGAGGTCCCAGCAGGTCCTGAGGCCCTGGCTGGGGAGAACAGAAATGGTGGGCCAGGCATCTCATGGACTTTCTAGTCCTCTGCACATTTCCTGTTCCTGGAGTTGAACAGGTGACACATGCACAGATGCCCAGATGACAGCTGGAAATGGGAGCAGCCTGGGATGCCTCCCACAGGGGACAGCATCATTATCACACCATGAGCCGGCTGAGAAGGAGCAGACGGTGAGTCCTGAGGGGGTCCTAACCTGAGCTTTATGCAAACTGGGAAATTCAATAGGTTGTACAACTTGTCCTACATGAAGCTGCCATAAAGGATGGGTCTCTAGGGGTGGGCTTGGTTGCCATGGAGACAACAGGGTAAGGAGGGGTTAAGGAAGAACACAGCTGTTCATCTAACTGTGCATGAGCCCACTCCTTTTCCTAAAGTAGAGCTTCTTTGAGGTCATCTCACTTATTTCTCTGCTGTCAGGCAGGATGGCAGCCATTTCAGCCCCCATTTATTGCCAGGATTGGAAATCCTGCCACCCCCTGTAGCCATCACAGGCTGCTATGGGATCCTTCTCTTTTTTTACCCTTCTGGGAGGATCTTTCTAGCAAGTGGCTTATGTTTACTGCACAGAAAGTGCTTGTACTGAGGAGGGTACCCATTCTGCAGATAGGGGCTAGTGACAAGGAGCTATGTGTGAAATAGTATGAACCTCATAGAATCTGATCATTGGCAGGTTTAAGAAAAAGATCTATGCCAGTGTGAGGGGATTAGCCAAGAAAGCTGAAGAAAAGAAAATGCATTGAATCCTCTTCAAGGTTACTTTTAACTTATTCATTTTTTGCCAAAAATGCCATAGAAATGAGGCCTTGCCTTTATTGGGGGTATTCTATTGGGGGGGCATATGAAATTGATTTTCTGCATCATGGGTGATGGGAACTTTGATCTCTTGCTCACCATGGGGGTCTACCTGATTTCCTCATCATGAGGCTACTATTGTTCTGGTTGTAATTAATAAGCATCTTATGGGAGGATAGAGAGGATAGATTAAGACATACAGATATCCTGTTTCTCTTCGGACTTTCATCCACTAATTTTAGCATCCATTGCCCATTCTTGCCTGAAGCAATTATTACTGTGAACTTTGCAAATGATGACTTTTTTTTTTTTGGTACCAGGGATTGAACCCAGGGTTGCTTAACTACTGAGCCACATCCCAGTACTTTTTATTTTTTATTTTGAGATAGGGTCTTTCTAAGTTGCTTAGGGCCTTCCCTGAGTTGCTGAGGCTGGCTTTGATTTTGTGATCTCCTGCCTCAGCCTCCCTAGCAGCTGGAAACATATGTGCACACCACCACACCCTGCTGCAAATGATGATTTTTTATTTCCATATTTTTTCCATATTTATTAGTTGAGCTTAAAGAAGGGAACCCCTCTTACCATTTGTTTGTCAAATGTCAGTAAAGACCATGAATCCTTATTTTATTCTGTTGGTAAAGACCATGATTATCATTATTTCCCTGCTCAAATTGCTCCAAATTTGACCACTGGGGTCCCCCCTTCAAGTTGGCTTTGAGGTCCTTTTAATATGTACCCTATTTTTTTTCAGTACTTCTTGCCAAGAATAAAAGTAATAACCTGAATTTAATCATGATGAAGCATCAATCATATCCAAATCAAAGGACATTCTACAAAATAACCGGCCTGGATTCTTCAAGGACATGAAGGACAAAGAAAGACTTCAGATCAAATGACTAAGGAGACATGACAACGGGATGTCACACAGGCTCCTGGATTAGATCCCAGCTTAAATTCTGGCCCAGAAAAGAGAGATTATTGGAACAATTGACAAAGTGTTAATAAAGCATGTATATGAAGTGGTCTTATTGAACTAATGTTAATTTTATGATTTTGATAATTGTACTATGGTTATGTAAGATGTTAACTTGAAAAATCTGGATGAAGGGGATATGGAAGTTCTTTGTACTATTTTTATATCTTTTTATAAATTTAAAATTATTTCAAAAATAGAAAGTTAAAGTTAAACAAAATGACTTTTACAAGGAGAGGAGAGTCAGGTGGGGGGTAGGAGATACAGAACGAAGGAAAATATGACAGATAATATTACATAAATTGTTCCGGGCCTGGATTCTTCCTCCCACAAATCCTGTCCAGAGTGATGGACCCTGAGTGGCTTGGAACACAGCATGGATTTGTCTCTTCCCAGAGATGCTTTTTCATTTCTCAACAGCCTCAACATGAAAATCACCAACAGGAGTCTTGGGGCCTCCGACTCCTGCTGATATGTTCACTGGGAAAAATCAATTACAGCCTAATTACCTCAGGGGGTTAATTAGCCTCCTGTAACTTGGGTGTCCTCTGTGAACGGAGCAGCCTGTCAGTCCTCGGTCAGTGAGCAGGGGTGGCTGAGCCAGAGGCTCCCCTAGGGAACAGCCTGCCTCAGGGCTGGGAAGGGGCCCCAGCCTGTCTGGGAGAAGAGCAGACAGACAACTGACCCGGGGCAGTCACCAGGGCTGGCAGAGGTGTGGTGCCGATGGACTTGAGTCCCCACTAATTTAAGCTCCTCTACACCACAGGTGCTGACGGGGCTGAGATGACAACTGCAGCAGAAAGAAGAATTACAGACCCGTGCAAGTTCTCAGGCCAGCAGTTGCCGGAAATCACTGGAATCAGGGAGAAGGCACGGAGCCCTGAGCAGCTCAGGAAACTGACTCTCTGAGGGCAGAGACCAGGCACCACCAGCAGCCCCCGCAAACACTCTTCCAGTAGCATAAAGACACAGGGGCCAGTCAGCAGTCACGGTCACTGGCCACATCTGAGAGTAAAATGGGATCAAAGCAGCCCACTCTGTGAGGGGCAGTGTGTACATCACGTAACCCCTTCCTACTCAGATGGACAAAGCCCAAGATGCAGTATCTCCCTCAGTACAGCACCGCCATGTGGATGAGTTGCATCTGTGAGGTCTATACCAGCTAGAAAAGACTTGGATATTAGGGAAGTAGAAATACTTCTCTGTGTCTTGGTTTTTTTGTTTTTTTTTTGGGGGGGGATTAATTTGTAGAGAATTTGTAAATGATTTTATAATTAAATCTGAATTCAAATATTGTCCTTGCCATTTTATTCACTGTGTGAACTTGAGCATGTCACTCAACTTCTCTGAGCCTCAGTTTCTTCATCGGCACCACGGAGGTGAGAATACTTACCTTCCGATATTGTTGTAAGGGTTAAATAATTAAATGCTAAGCAACATTGCTCCCTGTTCAAAGCATCTCTATATTAACATCATCCATTTAAACCCATCCTTGCGGTTTGCTTTTGTTTGTTTTTTAAACTGATCTGTATCTCTGAAATGCTCACAGGGGTGCTCCAGAAGGTTTTCAATATTCCGTCGTAGGTAAGAACCAGAGCAGCTTTCTTTGGACTACCAGGCAGAAAGAGGCAGGAAAAGGACAGGGCATCAGCTCCGGGAAGATGGAGTCAAAGAGCAGCCCCTCCCTTGCTTTTTTAAACCTGCAGACCACAGTGGTACCTGCCCAGGTTTTCGTTCCTAGTCACCATAAGGGAATGTGCAATTAGTTTCAAAGCACAAGTGACAGTCGTTGAATAGGGAGCTGTGAAGAGTGATGGGCACACAATGCAACTAAAGTTAAGCACAACTCTTCCTCTCCCAGGCCATTCAAAACCCGAGCAGCTGCGTTTTCACTCCCATCATCTATTCATCTTCCTTTGCAATTTGCTATTTTGGAAACATCACTCCCTCCTCCCCCCGTATAATTAATTACCTATTTCTTCCCATTAAAATCACAAACAAATGGGGACAGACACTAAACCCTGGGAAATGGCGCGGTGGCTAATGTAGTGCTTTTCTTTATTTCTCCCATGTCCAACTTTGCAACTCTGAGCTAATGGTAACTACTGAAATCAATGTTTCTGCTCAGAAGAGCTAAACCTGCTTTGTGAAATATTCACCCACCATGGAACCAGTTTCTTGGCTGTATTTGGGTCAGCCAGCCTGGCCGGGGCCACTGGGCTGGCTCTGTGTCCCTTGTGGTATGCAGGTGCACACAGATTTGCATATACACGCATGCATAGGCACAAGGACACGCTCCATACTCTTGTCATTTATGTCTGGACATGGACCATCCAGACACTTGAGAGGCTGTCTATGTCCCCAAATTAAATAAACTCAAATCTGAGAATTTATCTAAAAAGGCTCAATTTGTACCTTTTCCCCACAATCCTGGTTGTCCCCTCCTGCTCTGAAAACTTAGGGACTCACCTCGGTGATTTGGGGGTTGGAGCACTTGACATTGTGGCTGGACCAGTCCAGCCAGGGACTGGAGGGGCTGGTACAGTGCTGGTGGAGGGTGCATCTGCGCTCGCCGCTGCACCAGCCACACTCGAACTTGCGGTCAGCCTTGAGGCAGAGCCCACAGCTCTCCCGCTGGGCTGCACACTTGTAGAGATGCACTGTAAAGAGAGGGGGACTGTCAAGATGGGATGGCAGAGGCAGCTCACGGCGTACCCTCTTCTAGCAAGCACGACAGACACCATCCCTAACCGTGGATAACACCCCATCATCATTGCAAGAATAATGGATGGGAAATTAATAATAAATTGAACCTCTTAGTAGCCATTTAAAGGCACTACAGAAAATAATATTATTTCAGAGTTTCTGGCTCAAGATTGAATCAGATCAGGGCTTTAATTGTGGCTTCCTGACTTCCGAGCAATGTGACAAAGTATTTAACCTCCCTGAACCTCATTTATCTATCTGTAACACAGAGATAATCATTGTTTTTTGGGAGGTTTGAATGAGATGTTGTATAGTAAGCGCTTAGCGCAGTGCCTGTGACATATCTGATGTTCTATACATGCTTATTATCTTTTCTTTGAGCTCAAACTGTATTCTTTTGCTGCTGTCTTTCCTACTCACAGATGGCCCCTATTTCGAGAGGTAAGGGCTTATTTCCTCATTGCAGGTTAAAATGAAGCTCAAAGAGCGACGTAATGACTATTACAGCTTACTAAGCTTAGTGCCCCAAACGGGAGTCCTGAGGCTCCAGTTGGCTCTGCTGCTAGTTGGACATCCCGAGAAGAGAGGAATCTCACCTTGTATGCTGGAGATTGTGTGGATCTGGGACAGGAGTCAGCCTGAGCTTAAAGAAAGGCTGGGTAGCTGGGGAGGTATTGCTGGTAAGCAAAGTGGGTGACAGAGTCCTGTTGTCAGCCCCTGTGGATGGACAGCATGTCCCAGAGAGGACAAACTGGCTCCTTAACAGGTCACATGTGCAATCTACAAGTGCATTTTCTTTGCTTTTTGTCTCCTACTGACCAGCCAGTTAGTGAAAATGTGCTTGTGAGTCTGGGGCTTAGTTTTTTTCCTGCTAGGGTTCTGAACTCAGAGTCCCAAAAGAATTCTACAAAACCAGAGCAAAGCTGACCCTCTGTATTCACCAGTTCTGTATCTGTGGATTCAACCAACCGTGGATTGAAATATTTTAAAAAATGCATCTGTACTGAACATGTACAGACTTTTTATCTGATTGTTATTCCTTAAACATAGTGTATAACAACTATGAATAGGACATTTACATTGTATGAGGTATTAGAAGTAAGCTAGACATTGCTAAAAGCATATAGGGACATGCGCAGGTCATGCGCAAACACTGTGCCATTTTATAGAAGAGACTTAAGAGGCCTCAGACTTTCGTCTCAGCAGGGGGTCCTGAAACCAATCCAATGTGGAGATTGAAGGATGACTACTCAGTCATTTTTCAACCCTTCTGGTCAAGCAGACCTTAGCTTTTAGGATTGGGCACTGTACCTCTGCTGGAGGTCAGGTACATGCCCTGGGGGAGAGGTACTTTTTATTCTTTCATAGGTTCTCCTCCCATTCCTCTGGTCTGCCCAGCATTCCCTGGTCCGGGCTCAAGGACTATGTAAACATCCTTATGTCTATGGCCTCTTAAGGTAGAGGGCAGGAAATGGGAGTCTTAAAATAAACAAGTACACACTGGGCATTTGTAAATATGGACCACATGCTCTCCAGCCATGAACTTATTGGATCCTCATGATGACCCTATGCCAAGGGCATCTCTTTCTCCATGGCGCAGGCAAGGACACTGGGGTGTAGAAAGGAGCTGTAATTAGCCCAAGTTCACACTGCTGCAAGTTCAAGTGCCAGCAGTTGAACCTTGGTTTGTTGGATTCTAGAACCTTAGTCCTTAGACACTGTGGCCATATCCCCCCAACACCTGGGTGTACAGTCACCCTGACACCCAGGGTTCCAGGTGCAAAGGCAATCTCTGGGATCTAGGCCTAGCTCCTCGGCAAAGAAAGAGACTCCTATCTCTTAGTGGTGAGAAAATTTTGGGCTGGGAATGAGGAAAAATAGTATAAAAAAATCTCCCAGAATCAAGTTGCTCTCTCGCAGTCCAAGAAGCATTTATTTTAAAGGCAGCAAAGAGGCAAATCCCCAGATGCTGAAATACTTATAGACCACTCTCTATTGTGTCCTTAGGCCCCTTCCCAGTACCCAGGGGGTGAATCTCAGATGAAAACAGAGCCTGTGACAGCTTCAACTACTTGAACTGAAGTTAAGATATGTGGCTCGTGATGGGAGCAGAGCTGGGGTACATTCTGGGGGAAAAGGGTTCAAATCCCACAGTGAGCTGAGCAGCAGGTCATCACTGTGATGTGGGTAGCTTGTGCGTGAGTTCTGAAATTAAACTGGCTTGGTACAGATCCTGGCTCTTGCTATCCAACTTGGCCCTTTTCTTAACCTGTTTGGGTCTCACTTTCCTCATCTACAAAATGGGAACAAAAATAGTACATGCCTTTTGGAGTTGTGACGATTAAGAGAAATAATGACAAACAAATCACTTAATGATGATTTTTCCACTGAATGCTCAGCAAACTGGAGAGACTTTTACCATCCTTAACAACGCAGCTAGAATTTGTATCTGTTGCATTAAAGGAAGGGCCACACTTGGCCCATGGAAAAAGCTCAACATATGTTTGTAGGATGGTAAATGAAGGTGGCCCTCGTGCGGTACCCCCTCCTGCTCCAGTCCAGTCCCCTTCCTGAGCTTCCTTGCTCCAGATGTGGGCCTGACTACGCATGCTGGTCCCTCCCACCTGCCTCAGGACCAGGAGTGCAACCTTAAAAACCTTCTTTGTGCGGTGACCGTGACCAGGGCCAAGGACAGAGAAACAAGAGCTGAGTGGAAACAATATCTCCATTTCCAGGGAAACTGGCGGGACGTTCCTGCCTGCTGTTCTCCTAGGTCAGGTTCCACAGACACTTCAAAGCCACCGGGAGCCAAAGAATAGCGTGGATGAGTTGGCAGCCGCCCGACGAATGCTCTGGTTGTAATAAAACAGGGCTCCTAACAGGACTCCTTTGATGGCTCCAAATGTTGCTTTAGGATCCTCTGAAGAGTTCCGCTGACAGAGGGAGTGTATTATTCAAGGCACAGCAGCCTGCTGGCTCTGATTCCTCCAGCCCCAGTCTTTCCCGGGGTCGTGAAAAGATCAAACCTCTACCCGGAAGTAGCTGCTTACCTTTCAAGTCCTGAGGGTTGTCAATGATGAAATTGCCATTCCACACGACGGCGAAGTCCACGGCCAGGTTGCTGATGTCCATCCCATCATACTGGTACTGTGGGGAGTGGGCAGAGGCACATGGCTCAAGAGGCTGTCTGTCATGAGGAGCCAGAGGCTCAGAGCTACCCTTCATCCTGCTCTAAGGAGCCCTAGAATGCTCTTTACCTGACTCCCCAATCATGAATGCCTCCAGAATCCCACCCCAAACTTCCAACTGGGCATTTAGTACCTTGCATAAGCTGATCCAAACTGACTTCTCCAAATTTCTTCTCTACTGCTTTCCTGCAGAAAGCTTAAATCCACCTGTCTCCAAACACACCTGCCTAGCCCCCTCTCTGTGTCTTGGTTGAGTTTCTATTTCATAAGAAATGCCATCTTTTCCCCACAATCTCCATCCTTTTAACTCATCCTCATCATTCTCCCAGCCCAGCTCTGGTCCACCTTCCCCGGGCATCCTCTCCAATATCTCTGCCACCCCTCTCCAACCTCCCTGTTCCCTGGCATTGCTGCTCTCCTCCAGGAACTGCTGTGCATCTTTTCACGCACAAGTCCAGTCTTTCTAGAAAGTCTGTGAGTTTTAGGAGATAAAGCCATCCCCTCTCACTACCCCCAGAGAGGCGGAGCTTGGAATAGGGCTTGTTGTGACACTTGTGACCAGCTGGCTGACCAGGCCCTGTGCTTGTCCTCTCTTTCTATACATGAGCCTTACTTTGGTCCATGGTCCACTAAGGAGAAGTGTCCAGAGCTTTCTGGACAGAGATCTCCTCTGCTCCCCCATGAAAGGTATCCAGCTATGGCTAACAGTCCACTTTCTCTCCTGCTAATCACACAGAGGACTTTGAGACCCTCCGCACACGTGAGAAACAGCCCCTCTGGGTGGCCCAGCTCCCATCGCCACCTCTGAAGGAAACCTTTTGGCATCTCCTCTTGGGCTGCCCAGTCCTAGCCACTTAGCTCTGGAGGGCACGTCCCTGTCGGCCCTCTTGCCCCCGGCCCTTCCCGCTGCCTTCCTCCTTTGCTGAGTTCCATTTCTTTCTCATCCCACCTTCCCCTTGCGCTTGGCCGCCTTCCACCGATTACAAATTCTATCAAGCGCCTGTGACCCCGGAATCTGACAGCTCCCTGATAAGAGGCCCAGATTCTCTTTATCTCTCCCAGGCGAATTAGCTTCCCTCAACACCTTTGTCACGTCCCCATCTCCGAGCTGACCCCCCACAGTCAGACACAGGGAGTTGGCAGATAAAAAGATCTTCTCTGGGCTAGAATTATAATTAAACACCTCGGTGCTTTCTGTCCGCCATTCGGGACTGGTTTAACCCTTGCGGCTCTTGAAACACACTGCTTCCCCCTTCCTCTCCCCTCCCAACTCACTTCCTCTTCCCTCTTTTCTATTACCTTTGGGGTGATGCCCTCTGGTTTTGCATGTGGGCAAGGTGTGGGGGACAGGGTGGGGTGGAGCTGCTTCACGCTGGTTGGAGTTTCCACACAGGCTTAAAGGCAGGCTCTTTAAACTTCAGAAAGGGTACTGAGATCCCCGCTTCTGCCATTAGGGTAGTTTGTTTCCTCTGACACCATTCATTTGATCTGCCCTGGCTGAGGGTCCAGGGTACCTGCACATTCTTCTGTCCCTGGGGACATAGGGTCAGCTTGGGACCCTGGATGGTTCTAGAAGTTGGGAGCACCAGTCTTAGGGCTTGGCGCAGGTGGGGGAGAAAGTCCTGCTCCAGGCAGGGCCCCAGCTCGAGTCCTCTTACCGAACTATTCTGACACTGGACACTGGAGCTGTTGAATCGCAGGGCAGGGACCCGGTGGATGGCCCCCTGGATGTTGAGAACACATTCGTAGCCTCGCTGGCCCGACTGAGGCTGGGGCAAGTTTCGAGCCTTAAGGGTGATCGGTTTCACCTCTCCGACCGGAATCAGAATCTCCTCTGTGGGCACCAGCTGGGGACAGTCCTGAAAGAGCAAGAAAAGGGGTTCCATTTGTCCTCAGCTCATACTTTCTTACTCACCTAAGGAAAGACAAGGTCAGAACCAGGAGGCTGAGAACCTGGTGAATACAGGTGGGCTCCCCATGAGAAGGACATTACCTCACTTAAGAGGTGTGTGAGTCAGCAGGGAAAATGAGATCTCTCCTAGCTCCTGGGCTTTGATATTGTCATCACCATCCCACAAACTGTCCTGGGTCTGATGTGTGTGTTACAATTCAGGAATTAATTTGCAAGCACCAGTACAGCAAGCTGTGGATTTTACCTCCAGAGAAGCTGGATGAAAGAGCCTCTACGTGTCCCTGTCCCCAACTCCGGCACCCCACCTCTGGTTTCATCTGGTTCCCCAGCTCTGGCTCCTCTGCCCCTCACATGGTCAATGCCCGGGGCGTCCTGTTATCAGCAGCTTCAGCTGAGCTGGGCTTTCCAGGAGGTGCATCAGGCTCTCCCAGCAATGCTCTAAATACTTGCTCTGGCTTTTTATCTTATTTCATTACCAAGCTCTGCATGAATGCCATGTTCCTTTAGAAAACAAAACCCAGGCAAGAAAGTCATGGTAGGGAGGGGCTGTGGGAAGGACCATGAGAGAGAAGGTGAGAAAGAGACTGATTTTCTTCAGTTCTAAGTCTGGATGCTGCTTTGCTCTCTCAGAGGTCAAATGTCATCGCCTAACAGCTCTGATCTCCTCCTTCCCCCCACTCCAGGAAAGATCTGAGCCCAGTAGCCCCTGGCAGTGAGGATGTAGAAACCTTCTCCATGAGGAATCATTTCCTATCTCCAGGGTTCAACTGGAGGAATTCTTGCAGGAGGCTCCACTTCCCTTGGACATTTGTACCTGGGGAGAGCTTTTGAGAATGTTATGGGGGGTCCCAATACTATGAGCCCTGCAGAGGGGGTACTACTGGTACTAAATGACCCAGAATCAAGATTGCTAGATTTCCTGCAAGGTGTGGACAGTCTGCAATAGTAAGAGAGATAAGAGATTGTCCCTTTTGGGATGACAGAGGTGATTCCCAGTAAGAAGCCTTATATAACTCAGGTAACGTTAAGCAATGGCACGGCCTCGCTGGTCAGCCTGATACTTATGGGGCAGATTTAGGCAATCACTTCTTTTCTGTAGATCCCAGTTGCAGGCCTGACATGCCTGTTGGCCTCTTAACCCCACAATCTTGCATGCCACATTCTGACCATACCAAATGAACAGCTAGTTCTGATGTGCCATCTCCCTTACTGGATTTTTTTCTCCTGGACTTTTTTGAACATGCTTTTCTCTCTCCCAAACACTAACACTCACTTACTGGGCTGTGAATTTCTTGAGGATTAGGTGGTGGTATATTCAAGCCCACATACCCATTCTTCATTTCAGTGCCTGAAGTGTAATGGACACTGGTCATTGTTTGTGGGTGTGTGAATATAAAGAAGCAACGGATAAAAAGATCTTGAAGTTTCTTTATAGTTCCAACTTTTCAGATTTGTTGGAGATGAGGGTAAATCTCTTCTTTCTAGACATTAAGACACTTGAAGAGAAGTTTGATTCCCAACAACTGGGTTTGGAAACTGCCCTGGTTTCTGGAGTCTTCGATGATCTAACCAGCATGTCTGAATATACTAAGGCATCTTGAGGAACCATGAAGAACTGGATCCAGGGGAAATTTCCCATGGGAATCTGCCTAGGAGGGCTTGGATGGACCTCCAGGATCACTGGTGCCATCCCTTGCCTGTCAGCCAACCACACGTGAGGACTCCAGGCAGGCAGAGTCTCCACGAGGGACAGGATCACACGGCAGTGCCAGAACAGATGGGCCCGTTCAGGAGCCAGTCACTCAGGCTGCCAACTCATAAACTTGCTCTTTACTGCACTTTTACTTTCATTCCCTGCGGGCACTCTTGACAGAGTCTTTCATATATTTATAGCCAAGGGAAAAAAAAAAAGAATATCGCTTTAGGGAAGCCCAGGCATCTCATGGAAAAGGAGATGCCATGTCCTGTTAGTGGCTAAAAATCAACATCGAATTTAATAAGTTAGACTCTTAATTTAGGATAGAAATAAAGCTGAGGTATAATGGTGTGTGCGTGTGTGTGTGTGTGTGTGTGTGTGTGTGTGTAGAGAGAGAGAGAGAGAGAGAGAGAGACAGAAGAGAGAGAGAGAATAGATTTTCAGATTCTGAACCTGTTGGTATACTGTAAAAGATGAGCACTTATTTCTCATCTCTAATGAGCTCAGAGAACAAATTCAAATTTCAGTAGCAGGGTCCTAAAGATGTACTTTTGGAGCTGTGATGTCTCCAGTAAGTAAACAATATTGTAGAGTCCTTTTAACTCCGATCTCTCTCTCCCTCCCCCCTCCCCCCCTCTCTCTCACACACACACATACACAAGAAAAAACAAAACAAATCAAAAACCCACAATGGGCCCTAGAGTCCATGGATTCTGCCAATTGAGGATCAAAAATATTTGAAAAGAAATCACATCTGTACTAAATATGTACAGACCTTTTTCTTGTCATCATTCCCTAAACAATGCAGTATAACCACTATTCACACAGACTTGCATTGTATTGGTTATTATAAAGAACGTAGAGATGATTTAAAGTATTTGAGAGGATGTTCATAGGTTACATTCAAGTACCATGTAAATGACTTAAGCCTTTGGCATTTTTGTATTGACAAAGGTCCTGGAACCAATCCCCCATGGATGATTGTGTGTGTCTGTGTCTCACACACACACACCTTCACACACACACACACACCTTTTTGCCTGGGCTAAGTCCAGTTGGAGAAGCATGAGTAGAATTTATGAGTACTATTCTGAGTCTTTTAAAAAGAAATTCTAGAATTTTAGACACCCTCCCACAACCTGTGGCTTTAGGCCTTTTGCAACTAGACTTAGGAATAATGATTAGGGTCTTCCCAAATGTCCAAATCTGCTACAGGATTGCCCCCCATAGGAAAAAAAAAAGTTGTAGGCTTTGTTTATTTGACTCTTGCTCTTAGGTTAAATGGAATAGAATGATTCTATTCCTTCTCTAGGGCAAAGGAAAGAAGTGGTTGGAGTCCCAAGTACATTCTCTGCATCTTGGACAACAGATGAGATTCAGGCCCTCTCGATTGTAGATGGTTCTGGGGAGACTCAGTGAACAGACAGTGTGACTTGGGTGCCAATGGCAGTACTGAGGCTGCAGGCAGGTGCAGGAGGGCCTGCACCTTGGAAAGTTGCCAGGTTGCTGGAACTTCAGTACATCTGGGGTTTGAGGAAAATGATGGATATAATAAAGCCACTTCCAAACCATTTGCTTCTGTGTGTGTGCGTGCGCGCGCACACACACACACACACACACACACTCTCTCTCTCTCTCTCTCTCACACACACACACACAGTTTTTATCTTAAGGACAAAAAAGCAAATAATCACAAATGCTTTTTCTGCAGAATGTTAAGACTGTTATGAATGTTCTTAAAATACTGATTGCTCCTGCCAATCCTCACAGTCTTCTGAGTGACGTCTTCAGGTCATCCTATTCCTCCTCTGTCTGCAGGCCAGCTGGAGCCAGAGTCACCTCCTCAAGACAGCCGGCTTAGTTTAAGTCAAAATGAACAGATGTCCTGTTTGGGACTATCCTAGAGCTGGGCAGCAGGGGGTTGGGGACAGGGAAGAGGAAATACAACTGTAGGGAGGGCAGGAGGGCCAGGGCCTGGCGTAGAGCCCTGGGAGTCTTGGGGCCCTGTTGCCTGTTCTGTCTGGTTGTGCTCTGCCAGGTTCCCGTGCTGGGGACCCGTTAGCCTTTCGAAACAACTTCTCCCATGTGGAAATGGCATTATCTTCACCCACTGGACTTCAAAGAGAGAGAGCAGCCGGCATCCTGGGAAGCTAATCGGATTTATTTGGTTCTATCTTTCCCCTGGGATGGGGCGTAAAGAAGATATTTATGTATCTACATCTCACTAGGCCTGGTTTAGCCATGGAGGAAGATGAGCTTTCACAGCTGAAAGCCATACATACTCCTGTGCACTCCTGCTTGCTAACACCCTGTCATAGTCTGATCCGGCCCAGGGAGGTAGAGATTTGGGAGCCCCATCAGAAATCTGCTGGGCTCTGAGTGCTAGTAAAGTCTGGTTTGTTACCTTAAAAGGGCTCAAGGGATGGTTCAATTGAAATTCAGTTTCCTCAAATCTAAAATGGTGCCAATAATACCTGACAATCCTAGATTACATGAAAGAGGGATATGAAAGTATGGGGTAAGTGGTAATGAGCTGGATGAACACTCATTGTTAAATATTATTACTGCAAATCTCTCTCTCTCTCTCTCTCTCTCTCTCTCTCTGTGTGTGTGTGTGTGTGTGTATACACAGAATCTGAGGACATCAACTTATTCAAGGCCAGCTTGGAACATTGACTCTGAATCCTGATGTCTGCATTTATTTGATGATAATAGGAAAATTATTGTACTTATCTAAGTTTCAGTTTATCTGTAATAGAATCTCCTCCATACAGTAGTCAAGATTAAATAAAATTTATATATATGCATATGTGTGTGTGTGTATCTATCTATATATAGTGCTGCATATATAATAAGCACTCAATAGATGTTAACTTCTAAAACTTTCCTTTGTGAACTGTAGTCTCTGCAGCACAGCTGTTCTTCATCATCAGGCTTAAGCATGGAGTTGGCCCAGCAGTCCTCTGGAAAGATGTGGGCAAACCCACCTCATATGCGGCTGTCCTTTTATCTGAAAGTGGCATGGCCAACCCATCTTCATGGGAAATTTCTCCATCTGTAGAGATGGATTTGTGCAGGTCCAGCCATACTCTCTGAACCCTCATGACCAACAGCAAGGACCAGATTGAAGTCACACCTGCAAGGGTAGCTGTGGCCATGGAGACTAACACACTCAAGCCTGATTTTTCTGTAGAAAACAAACTGTGCTGCTTTTTTGGATGCCTGAGTTCTCTGTAGCCTTGGGCAAAATCACTAAATTTTTGGCATCTTGGTTACTACAGATGTCAAATATGAATTATGTGAATCTGCAGGGTTGTTTCAGAATCAACCGAAACACCGTATGTCAGGGGTTCTCAATCTTTAGCCTCATCTGGGATGGGGTCCAAGAATTTGAATTTCTAACACGTTTGTGGGTGATGTTGACGGAGCACACCCTGGTTGGCACACATTGAGAACTTCGGCCACATGTGCAAAAACTATAAATGTGAGATGCCTTAATGTTGCTATATTACTCAATGAAGCCAATCAGTTATATATCATCTCTAGGAAGTCGACAGACATAAAATTTTGATTCAAAGTTTAGGTCAGGGGCTTACTAGAAGTATAAAAGAGATATTCTAGGAACCCCAAAGAGACACCTATGAGATTTCCAGTCTCGAAAACAACATAAAGACACAGATGGCACTCCTCATAGAGCCAGGAAAACCTTACCCAAGCTGGCCATGTGTGTTTTTGCTGTTCCTCAAATTTTCAGGAATAGGGGTCCCCTAAAATGGAACTTTGGTTGGAATAGAGCAGGGCTTCAGAGCTATTTTCTGGGCAGGGAGGTGTGATAGGTTGTGGCTGAGAGCTAAAGTAGTATTTTCAGAAGCCAAGGAAGTGACCCAGCAACCTTGCAGGCAAGCTGCACCCTATTTTGGAGCTGGATAGAGTCTGGGTTTCCATCACAGCCCTCCAGAGAGTTACTCCCTGGGCCTGCCTGGGGCCACAAACATGAGGATAAGAGAGCAGGCGACCACCCAGCCCTGCTCAGGCAGATGGGAAGATGGGAGGCAAGGGTATGGTTCTTCTTGAGGCTGAAAGGAGATAGGAAGTCTCTGGATTGGGCCTCAGGGTTCTTTTAGTATTAACTTAATACCGAGTTGCAGGGAGGCAACAGCTTTTTTCCAACCCTCTCTCTGGAATGTCCAGGCCTCTCATCTGTGGCTGACAGGGAGCTGTGTTTCAGTGGCTTCTACACAGTGTGAAGGAAGCCCAGCCTGCTTCCAATTAGCCTTCTGGGGCTCAGCCCTCGGGCCTCTACGCACATCCCGGCTGAGTTTATTTGTCTTGCTCCATGTGACACCCTGCTTGCCCTCACTCCAGCTGCAGGTCGAGATCAGGCTTGGCTTTGGGTTTCTTTCTGCCTGAGGGGGCGGCCCCAGTAGAAAGTGGGGCAGCTGCTCCTTCTTGTCTGAATCTATCCTTCACCCTCTTTCTGGGTTCTGAGTTCCTCCTCCTCCTATTTAATTAAGTAACTTAGAAGTTTTGAGTGGCCAAAGTGAAGGCCAGTTTCTAAGACCAATGATCTCCCATCTTCTACTGCCCAACTTGCACCTCTGATCAGGCCCTCTGCAACTTGTTTTCTTCAGTCATTCTTCTATGGGCTCCCTAGCTGCAATTCCACCACCCCATACCTTCAGCTCTCAGGCCCTTTTCTCTGAGTAAGAAGGCTGGTTCAGACCTCTGCAGAGTTCCAGGGCTGTGATTAATTTCCAGTGTTCACTAAGACCAGTGTAGTGATTTCAGGCCAGCTGCATCCCAGCATACCAACTGGCAAGGGAAATCCTTTTTGGATCATTCCCAGGGTAACTACGTGCCTGATTCTATCCTTTTGCGGCAACTGTGGACAGGTCTGCCTTCAATGTTCCCATTAGGGACCATCTATGTCTCTCCCTTTTAAGATAGACAAATTCCATTTTTTTCCTGACTGAATATAACACATGTTATTTCAGAAACTAAAAAGAGCTCAAGGCCATGGGTGTGTGTTTCAGAAACCTTTCAAGGTCTACTTTCTTATGTTTACTCATGAAAGCTACCGGCACAGCTGTTGAGATGAGGAGATACAAGAGACACCATTTCTGGAAGTCTTAGACAAGCAGACCCAATGTTCATCAATGGGACTTGGGTACAGAAGTGACTAGTTTATCCATGTGTTCCACACACTCATTCTACTCATATTCACTTAAGAAGATACTAAGGATATAAAGATAAGCTGTGATCCTTGCCTTTAAGGAGACTGTAGTCTACTGGAGAAAAATATCTGTGCAGAAAGGTTTAGTAATATATGAAAATGTACACTGTCACCTATAAATAGTTGCAGATTTCTAAATGGCAGAACAAGAGAGAAACTTGTGTATATGCACTTGGGCATATATATGAATACATAAGGTCTCTATAGTTCTTCAAACTCAACTGGTCACCCATGGCTAAAAGTACCAGAAAGGGAAATTGACCCAGTAGCCTTCATCATCCTGAGGTATGCTGGGGACATATAAGAAAGAGTCAACATCAATGAGTAATCATGAAATGGAATATTCACTGGAAGATAAGCAGTGTGATATTTCACTGTGTTGATAAGAGAGATGGATCACCCTTTAGAGATGGAGCTTCAGCTACATAATGAGATTGGACTTTTAGCAATGCCTGGTTCTTTCACTAGTTGAATTTTCTTCTCTTTCTATAAGGCCACCCACCCAGACACACATCAAAGAATCATTGAATTTGAGAGTTGGAAGAGAAGTTGGCATGAAAGAATGGTTGAGAGTGAATGTTCTATTGAACTCAGTTATGTCTACAGCCAAGCAAACGGCCAGACTCAAAGAATACATGCCATTCACTACCCTCTTCCAGATCACAGAGTCTGTTGGGTTGGATATGTTTCCTCTAAGCTTCTAGACTCAATCCCTGAACGCAGAGTTTGAGGAGTCCACTTGTTATGGCCTTTGCCTCTGGGGTCATTTGCTGCCAGTTTCTCGAGCTTTATAACAACATGGCTTTTAAGCACGTAGAAGGACCAAATCTAATCAAAGGACCAAATTGGGTCAGCACAAGAGATGATCAAGCCATTGGACTGACCATCTGAAAAGGAAGGGGTTATTCAGATTCTTTGGCACATCGCCATGTCAGGGTGAGCCTTTTACCTCTGAAATGTTGATCCGGCCCTCTTGGAAGGAGCAGGTCGTGGGGTCATGAGTGCAGAGGTTCCGGTACTTGCACCAATGGCAGCGGAAGGCGCTGTTGACACAGGACAGGCACCTGCAAGGATGGAGACAAGAAGAGGACAAGCCAAGGAGCCACAGGTCATGATAGAAGTCGTTATCTTATATTTAAATCCTAGTCTTACTCTCAGAAGGGCAGATGACTGGAGCGTCCTCTAGTACCGAGAACTATGAATTCTTGAGCCAGGATGTTCATGAGACCAGAAAGAAACCAGGACTGGAGTAGAAATAATGCACTTAGAATGCAGCAGTGAGCTGTACCTTCCCTGTAGCGCATGTGAGAGCCGATTGTTTATATTTTCAGTCCATTTTTCAAACTGGTAGACTTCACATAGGAAGCTTGAATCAGCCATGGGGGGAAAGTTTAAACTACAGAAATTGGTAAATGGCCAGATGTGGTGGTTCATGCCTGTGATCCCAGAGGCTCAGGAGGCTGAGGCAGGAGGATCTCGAGTTCAAAGCCAACCTCAGCAACTTAGCTAGGCCCTAAGCAACTTAGTGAGATCCTGTCTCAAAATAAAAAATAAAAGAGCTGGGGATGTGGTTCAGTGGGTAAGTTCCCCGCAGTTCAATCTCTGGTACCCCTCCCCCCAAAAAAGAGTAAATGCTACCAAACTAGTTTTTCTTTCTTTCTTTTTTTTGTCCCCTGATTTCTGGTAGTTAAATCTTTACCAAGATACCACTGTTTGTAAGACTGAGTAAAAAGAGCATAGAGGTAGAAATTGGACAGGTCTGATTATAGTCTTGCTTCTGCTGTTGCCACTGGGTCACCCTAAGTAAGTCACTTAACTTTCTGAATTGGAGTTTCTTTATCTATCTGTAACAAAACATTCCCATCTACTCCACAGGGCTGTTTGGTAATCAAATAAGATAATGTACAGAAAATGGTTTTGAAAAGTACGATGCTAAATATGTTATTTTCAAGTGCTTAAATCACCTGTTATTTCAACCTCTTAAATAACATTTGAGAATCAACAATTGGTTCATAGCACTTCTGTTATAGGGCTCAGGGGAGTTAACAGGATTAAATGGTGAATTTGTCTCATACTCCTAATAATCCAGGGAAGAAGCATCAGAATAGGTGCATGACATACACCTTTCTTGCCAGAGTGAGCATTTATTTCCCCCTGGTTTCATCTGGAGGCTGTGTATATTACTTTGTCTCTGTTTGTGTGATCAGACCATAATAATAGAAATGTGTAGAGGGGGATGGTCTTCCAAGCTCTCCTACTGTAGTTTTTCATCACTAGACTAATCTGGCTTGGACAGGACCAAGTCTGCAATCTGGCGCCACCTGGTGGGAGTCTAGGTACAACTGGGTGATTGGGCATCGGATAGAGAGGTCGTGGGTTAATGGGCCCCAGTGTGTTAGGGGCATTCGCTTATCTAACTTCATCTTCCCCATGCTGATTATTTTTATTCTTTTATGTTTATGTCCAAAGTTATTTAGTTTCTGAGCTTAGGCCAATTCTATTTTGTGTACTCCCTGATTGATTGGTTTTTGATAATATCTTGCGATTCAGCAAGTAAATAATGAAAACAGACTAAGGACCAAAGGATGATGGTATCTATTTGGACTGTAGACCTGGATCTTCCACTGGCTAATAGTGTGACCATCATTGTATTCTCTGTGGGCCTCAGTTTACCATATTAAAAGGAAAGAAGTAAATATGATTCTGTGACTTTGACCTGTGAATGCCAGAGGTAGAGTGGGGGCAAGATAGATAATATTTGGCAATAAAATCTTTGCTGTCAAGAAGATCTGCTTTTTTTTTTTTCCCTGCTAAAATTTGCTGCCTGTGACAGCATCTTTGTTGCCATAGCAATCCATCATTGAAAGTGGTGACATCACACTAAATTGCCATGGAGATGAGGGTGCTCTCACAAACAATGGATTCTGTTACCACTGTGTTGTTTGTGAAGGAAGTTGAGAGGTTCTCTCTCCATGATGCTTGGCATATCCAAGGCGGAGTTAGATGGGGGTTGGAATGCAGTGGTTAGCGGGCACTTGGGTCCTAATTTTAGCTTGCACCACTGTCTGCCCTACCCTGGTTCCTGCCTGCCATTTTTACCTCTTGTTCTTTCTTTTTCAGGGTTATCTGTTGAGTCATCCTGATGGGGTTCAGATATGTCTCCTTTCCTGACTACTGCAAAGATGCTAGGACTCTAGAAAATTATTCTAATCATGAAAATCAAGATCAGAAAAGGGGAGATGAGGGAGGACTAGCTCATTTATCTATTTTATGGCTAAAGATTCTTTTAAGGCTTATCTGCAAACAGATCCTTTCCCCACCTTGATTGCTGAGCCCTTTGTGCCCACAACTTGAATCCTACAGACTCAATGACCCTGGAATTATGTCTATTATATAGATCTCAGTGGTTCCTATTCTAGAAAATGGGAGGAATAACTCCATAAAATACTTCCAATTACTAGTGCCTTTGGCATGTTGATGGGCTTGACATCTTTCCCCTTGTTATTAGTCTTATGATAATTGACAATCATGTGGCCCTATTATAGAACCATATGTAGTTCCCTTTCTCTAAACTAAATAGTCTCAAAATGTCCAGCTTATATGGGAATCTTCTGTGCCTTGGTTCTTCTTCCAGAGAAAATCAGAAGAAACCAAGCGTAGGTCTCTCTATCCTGCACTCCTGACCTTGCTTTTTCTTGTGCAATATTCCCAGCTGCCTAAACAGTTGTGGGATCTCCTAGCTGGAAGGCACCAGTTGGTAGGCATTCAGCTGCTGGAGGGGGCTGGTGAGGTCAGGCTGTTGAGGCTCTGGAGATTGGTGTTTTGCTCTGTCTGGCTTCCCCGCCTTTTTTTTTTTTTTTAAGTTAAAGGATGAGTTTGGGACATGGTGGGCTTAAAGCCTCCACTGTTCCTACCTAGTCCAGCTCCTTCCTCTGTGTGCTGAGAGAGGCTACTTCCCCCTTGCCCTGACCTCCTTTGTGGGTGCCTGAGTGCACAGCTGAGTACCCTTGCTCTGAGTCCCTCTTCATTTGCTTTTGGGGGACATGTCCAAACTCCACTCACTGTCAATCTCTACTTAGGAAACCAATGCAGTTGGCTTCAAGAAAGGACCTTTTCTTAAGGTTCTTGGGTCAAGGCTCTCTTCTTACCATAGTAACTTGAGGGTGATATGGGGGAGAGTATGCTGGGATGGGGGCCAAGGAACTCTGATTGAGATCAGGGATGGTGGAGTGTGACCAGACAGCATCCTCTGTCCAAGCCATGTTCCAGACCCCCGAGGGATGCTGTGAAGTGACTACTATACAATTCCTGTCCTACAGGAGCTTAGAACCAAGGAAGGGAAACCCCATACCCACATCTAGACCAAAGGCAAGACTCCTCCTGAGAAGTGCTTACAGTTGGTGGGCGCTGCAGTTGTAAAACTTGAACTCGGTGCTGACAAATATCTTCCCCGTCTCCTTGGACCTCAGCTGTAGCTCCAGCCCAAACCAGTCTAGGGAAAAAAGAAAAGAATGGGGTGTAGTGAAAACCTGGGGACCTGATGGACAGCCTGAGGGAGAGGGCAAATTGTTCAGCCATCCCAGGGCTCTCTGAGAGCGCAGATGGTAGATGGAACCTGCCTGTACCTTCTCCCAAGAGAATCCCTTTGGCTAGTTACCAGTCCATTCCTCAGACCCAGACCCAGAGGGGAATAGCAGAGTTCACAGAGCCCCTTGCCTTGGTTAAGCATGTTAGGTTACTGAAATCATTTTAGAAATATTAGGCCAGAACCCCTCAAGCCCCCCGTTCTATAGAGATAACCCACTAAAAACCATTGACTGAAGCCACCTCCATTCCCAAAAGGGACAGGCAGTCTGCAGACTGTGCACAGACTTAATCCATGTGGGAGCAAGCATTTTACATCTTCCTGAATTTTGCTTGGGGGCATGACAGTTTGCTTTCAAATTCAAACAAGTTGAATAAGCCAATATTAGTATCTGGTATTTGAAGACTCAGTCAGACCAAGACTTGTGACCCTCATCTCTGCCATGGTAGAACAGCCCCCCACATGTGGCTCTCCCAACAGACACTTCTTACCTTGATCCACAGGGATGACAGGGACATCTTTGGGCCCAGGGGAGACACAGATGACCTGGCTCCCGGACACCTGCCCCTCTACCTCCGTCAGGTTCCCAAAGGCACAGGCGATACCAGTGGAGAGATCAGGAGCATCACTCACAACGAGGCTGAGCTGTGGGAGGAACAAAGAGCTCAGAAGACCGGCTGCAAGCTCAGCCCTGCAGGGACCTATTGCTCACCCATCTCCCCTTACCTCATCTCTTAAAGAAGGGCGCTGGTCTAGGTGACCTTCCAGGTCTGTCACAGAACAATTACAGAAATGAATTGCTCATTGGTGTGTAGGATCTTTATTAATATTATTATTAATTGATTTTTCAATCTTATTGAGCATCAGAAAACACAGGGGTTTAGGGCCATTAGAGGTAAAGGCACCAAAAACCATCCCAGGATTTGACATGGAAATTAATTACAAGACTCCATGGGAACTTGGAAGTGTGTCCTGAGCTGAAGTCTTCATCTACAAGGCCTTAATCTGGGCCCCTGGTAGAGTAGGTATGGCCAGTCCCGTGGTCTGCTAGGAGTGCACTAGCTGGCAGGTGACAGCCGCTCTTCAACCTGGCTCTTACTCATTCAATGGCTGCTTATCAGGCTGTGGGATTCCTAGAGTTTCTGCTCCTATGTTCCTTCCCAGCCCTCTGCTCTCTGGTAGGTCCTGGAGTGGGGCAGGAAGTTCACAAGGAGCTCAGAGGACCACAGAAGGGGGGCCCACCAACAGCTTCATGGTGTCTGGGACCTAGGGGTTCCAATCATTTAGCCAGTGGTTTCCAGCCTTGTCAAGTTTGAGGACCCTCCTTTTAGTGGTAAAAAATATCATAGATGTTCAGAAGAATTTCTTAAGAGAAAATGAGAAAATGCTGCTCTCAGTTCAGGGCACTTTTCGATGAGTTTGTGCTCAGCGACAATATATGTGCTCACCATGCTGAATAGGTAAGAAATGTAACTGGCTCCCTCTGGTGATGAGGAGTGTCCCGGGGTTTATGGTGAAAGTACCCCTGTGGGGCTGTCTTCAAGTTGAGGGCCACAGGACAGGCCAGCTTCCCTTGGTCTTCCTACTAACACCTGGCAGCCGCTTCTCTAGTCACTATGGCTGTCCCTTGGCCTTGCCATGTGTCTGCGGGCCAGTGAATCTCTGCCCCAGTTTCATTTCCATGGGGGCAAGAGACTTAGGTACAAACCCCTCTGCTGGTTCTCTTAGCTCCCTTGGAGCCTACACCTCCTGGTAGGGATGAATGAATCCAAATCTTGGAAGGCTCATTAACTAATCAACATTCGTGAATGCTCATAAAGATCTGCAGGATGAAAAAGCAGTCAAGGCTTGAGGACATGAACTATTTTGGGTTGTAACTTGACAGGTGGTTCAGGGCTATTCTATTCTTTTGAATACTCTCTTTAAGCACACACTGACTTCAAATTGAGTCTTGGTCTCTGTCTTATCACCACCCTCACACCCCTCAACACAAAGGCAACTTGCAGATTTCTTGAGAGAGTGAAATATTGTCAACACAGCCCACACTAAAGAATGTGCCGTTTGGTATTGGATTGGTATTGTCACAGACGTTTGCTACTACACACAAAATTTAGATTTACAAAAGAGATCAATGGGCAATGAATTTTCAGGGAGGATGACCCTTTACAATAAGAGTTACCCCTAGGTTTTCTGAAAAGTTTCCTCAGACATTTCAAGTGGGATCGATGTTCAGATACTTGTGCAAGCCTTAAAGGAGCCCACCCACAAAGATGCGTGCCCCCCCCCCCCCCGCCCCACTTCCTCCCTCTGCCTCCCTGCTAAGATACCTACCAGCCGGCTGTGCTCAGACACGGAGATGCTGCTCGGATGTACTGCGAGGCTCATGCACTGGCTGATGCTGGCAGCAAATCGATTTGGTTCCCAGGCCCGCTGGCACTTGTCCCTGCGGGAGCACCTGACACAGACACAGATTCACAAGAGGTCAGGCCTCTGGGACCCGTGTGTTTGATGCCATTGTCCCCTGGTGAGAGGGGTTTGCTGCCCAGAGGCCCGTGGCTTGTCTGCTGCTGGTGTCTTTCACTGTACTTCAGAGGACTTTAGTGACTTCCAGATAGTATTTATGGCATGCAGCTAAGGACAGACTAAGGGGAAGGAGCATTAATTCTCAATACAAGGGATGCAGTTTGTATATATATATATATATATATATATATATATATATATATATATATATATAATCCCTTACCAGGACCATAGGAATGCTCAGTTGAGGGAGGGAGGGAAGTTTGGGGGAACTTAAGAAGTAGCAGAGCAATGGGCTAAGAACTTGAACTATGGAGCCAAGATGTGGGTCCTAACCCCAGACCTATTACCCTATAGCTGTGGCTCCTTGGGCAAGTGACTGATTCACTCTGTTCTAAGTTTCCTCAACTGTAAAAGGGTAAGAGTGGCAATACTACCCTACCTCACAGGGCTGGTGGAAGAATCAAGAAGATAATGCTTAGAATATAGCCTGACACTTAGGAGCCATGCCAGGGTCAGCGCTTGTAATACCAATATTATTGATGATGATGATTAATATCATTATTCACCTCCAGAAGAATTTAGAAAATGAGACTGGGCCTAAGCTGTGTGGGACAATGTGCATATGATCCTGTGTGTGGATTGATGGCTCTTTAAATGGAGAGGTCATGTTTTATTCATTGAGATGTTCTACCTGTCACAGGGTATATTTTAAATAAATGTTTGTGTCGTGAAATAATGCCTCGAGACAGAGAGGCAGAAAGGAGCTGTGGCCAGGGTTGCCTCTGTCAGAAAGCTTGTGTGGCTATTTCTCTGGACATCTTCATCTTGGGCCCGAGGCTCCTCTGCCCACAGTAGCAGGTGGACGCAGTGATGCCCACAAGCAGGAGCTTCAGACTGCCACCTGCTGTGTCCCATGGGGACACACTCCAGGGCTTGGTGTTGCTCCAAACCAAATAGCTCAGGGACACGACAAGATTCGATCAAGCTGTGAGTCCCACCCCCAATCCCCCCAAGCTCCTCCCCCTCTTCCTTTCCAGGCACATAATGGATCTAAATATGAATGCTGTCAAAGAAAAGAATTATTGAGGTTTAAGTGAATCCTTAAGATAGCTCTAAAGTGAGCTCTTGACTGGAGCCTTTATCTCATTGACTCACTGAAATGGCTCTTTTTTATCATACTATTTATGGCAACAGCCCTAACAGAGATAAATAGCCTGGGAGACAATAACACACTTGCAAGAGCAAGGCATACAGAAGAGACAGGAGGGTTTCCAATCCCCCTGGGCCCAGAGGCTCTTTAGCAATCTCCCTCAGCCCTCTGGCTCCATTAAAGAAGCCGGCCTGTGAGCCCGGGAGGTGGGGTCCTGTCTTTTCATCGTCTGGGCAGGCAAGAGAGTATTGCAGAAGGGTCTGTAAACAAGAGAATGACCAGGCCTGGAGAAACTTCTGTTCTCGACGTGTTCTTGGCAGGTGGAATACCGGGTGACTGGTAAGTAGGATTCTCTGAGAACAGGTAAGAAGTTCAGGGAGCAGAGGAAACTGTCCTGATGAGGCTCAGTCATTCAAGGAGACACAACTGACATGTACCAGGAGGATAATGGCGTGACATGGGGCAGCTGGAAGACTTGGGCATTGTTGACCCAACCATGGGTGGTGGTACAAGTTGGGGAAGGCAGATGTGCTTGCTGTTGACTAAATGAGCATCGCTGATCTATGATTCTGCATGGTGTTCTACATGTGAGAAGTGTCAGAGGCAGGTTGGGAAGGGGCAAGGAGTTGGAGATACAGCTGGTCATGGCCACTGCAGAGCCACGGGGCATGTAGCCCAGAGCTGCAGGTAGACTGTACTACTGTCTCCTTCCTTCCTTCCTTCCTTCCTTCCTTCCTTCCTTCCTTCCTTCCTTCCTCCCTCCCTCCCTCCCTCCCTCCCTCCCATATTTCTACAGCACTGGGGATTAAAACCTGGGCCTCGCACATGGCTAGGCAAGTACTCTAACTGGGAGTTCATTTTGTAGCAGGGTCTCATTAAGCTGCCCAGGCTGGCCTTGAACTTGTAATCCTCCTGCCTTAGCCTCTCAAGTAACTGGAATTACAGACATGTGCCACTGCACCCAGCTTTGTTAGGTTCATCAGAGAAAGACATTCTCTTCAAGAGAGACCCTGCTGAAGGGAGCCCAAATTTACTCCCTTTGCCAGTCCTGGGGTGCAGATTGGGTGGCCTCGGCATTTTTACCATATGTCTGATCTACCTGGAGACTCGCTGTCTGGGTTTTGCTAAGAGCATTTTTGCAAAACTTTCTGTGGCATCTTGTCCCTCCAAAACCCAAGTAGGGAACCCAGTGTTCATGGAAACAAATCCAGTCCAGATTTTGCATCTGTGAAGCGCCAGCCTCTCTCCCTCCCTCCCAGCTCTCCCAACACCTGCTGCAGAGGCTGCAAGCCAAGAGCTATTGTCCAGGACCCTGAACTCTGGCCCTCTGCCTCCGCCTCCACCCCAAACCCAGCACATTTCATGGAGATGCTTCCCTGGCTGGCCCTGAGCCATGGAGTTTCCAGCTCCATTGGGCAACAGAATTCCTAGCCAGCTCCCGCCTTTCGGGTTTTCACCCTTTTCTCTCCCTCTGGGGCTCTTCGAATTAGGAAGTTTAAGTGTGATTTTGCATTTCTATTGAGCTGGTATTCAATGGCGGGGATGTATCTGAATAGGGATAAGAGGCCAGTTGGAGTGAGATGCGGACTTCTTGGAATCATGAAATAACGAGGCCAGAAGGGTCCTCCCAAGGGTAAAGCGACCATAATAGTTATTTTGATTTGTGCAGCCTCTCCTGGGCTTCCTTATTTCCAAAGCACTTATTATTTCATTTAGTTGTAACAATTCACCTGTGAAACAGGCATTTTTTCCTATTTAGCAACAGGGAAATGGAGGCCTAGAGTTGTCAGAGGACCCATCCAGGGTCACATGGCAACTAGCTGGAGAGTAAACGTCCCAACTCCAGTGCGGCATCTTTGGCATGTCCTGCAAGCCCTAAGGCCTGGAGATTCTTCCACAACTTCCCTAATGATACAAGGATACCACCACATCACTCCAGCATGGCCGAGAAGGCAAGACAGAGAGGCAAATGCACTACACACAGATAGAAGTCCCCTCTCCCTGCCTCCCACCTCTGCATCACCTTTAGAATTACTCCTCATAAGAGGGAAATTCCTCCTTTCTGCAAATTGCTGTCCCATACCATCATTCTAGGAAACCCCCCTATCTTCTGCATGCCAGCTCCCCTTCCAGAACATTCCCAACTTACATGTTGTGCAGAGTGCACCAGCCACAGTGAGGGTCCCCGGAGCTCAGGCACTCCCCACAAGTTGTGTACTGTTCACATGACTCCACAGGGACCCTGGTGACCTGGTGGGGAGAGGAAAGGGAGCACAGGGAGGTCAGGTTGTGACAATTTGAGAATGTGTGTTCAGACTCACCTATTTCCAGGCACTCTGCCCTAATATGTCTCATAAGAAGGTGACACTGGTGGCAAATCAGTGACCTTGATGTTTTCATGTCTTTTCTGGCTAGGTCAGGTAGGGCTAAGCAGAATGCGTGGCAGTCCCAAGATTTCTTGACTTTGCTAGAGGTAAAAGAAAACTCCCCAACCTATTGCTGCCAGCCTCCGACGTCCTCCCTAGAGCTGGGCAAACCACGGGCAAGTGCTAAAAATGGTTAACTCTGCTGAAAGGCTATTGAGTGGCACAAACTCATCTCTGAAGAGCTTTCAGCTGGGCTTGGGCTGAGACATCCTGCCTGCACAGAACACATTTTAAAAGGGAGAGAAGGAGAAACTTTTCCCATCAAATAATATTCATAGTATGGCACAGGCTCTTTACAGCCAACCAAACATACCACCTGGATCCAATTATCCCATTCTCTGATGGCTGCATTCAGTTTCCCTAGTAAATCTCCCATCCTTTCAAAAGTCTGGCTAAATGGGAACCTCCACAGAGAAGAGCTGCTTGTCTGATTCTGTCTTGCCTGGAAAGTGGGGATTTGCAGATCAAGTCCCTGCCCCCAGAAAGGACAGCCCTGGAAAACTCCTCCTGGCTTTCTGGTGGGGCCCTGTAGGGATGTGAGCTGGACCTGTTTGGACATCACTCTCTCCCACCTGCTTAACATGTGTGTAAAGGTCAGGCAATGGGTCAGGGGACTGAAGTCTTCCATTTGATGTGTCCTAGGTTTCTGTTGCTGGCTGGGGCAGAAGGCTGTTGGGCTGCAAAAACATTTGTTGGACTGACAATGGGTTCTCATTTGCTAGGGCATAGAGGTCCCCCACCAACTGGATATGTAAGCTCAGGTGAAAATAAACTGTGGTCCAGCTTCTGGCAGCAGGATGAAGGCTATGATGAAGATAATTTCACAGCATCCTCCTCCTGGGAGGTTCAGGATGGACCCCAACACTATTCATTCAGCTAAGGTTTCTCAGATGTCCACTCTGGTGCTAAGCAATAAAGAAACCACAGCAAACTACATGCAGATTCTGCCCTCATGGAGCTCCACAGTCAGGGGGACTTGGTAATTACCAAATGAGAATTGCTTCACATTGTGCCGAGTGTTTGTAATACAGGATTGGTTTGATTGCAGGGGACCTTGGGAGCTTAGAGTAGGGTCACTGAGGACAACCTGTCAGGAGGAAGAGACCAGGGGTGGAAGGGTGAGTCTTGAAGTATAAGAATGAGCCAGATGCAGGGACTTGGAAGTCCATTCTCAGCAGAGGGATCATAATGAGCAAAGGAGGCATAGACAAGTTCAGTGTAACTGAATGGAGAGTGTCCACTGGGTGGGCAGAGACCAGCCTGCCATTACTCTGTTGTGCCCTACCTGTCTTTAGCATATCCTAACACTTAACATTTCCACAACACAAGGCTTTTCTGTAAATGAGTGTCATGATTGGCCAAAACTGACTTTTAAAAAGGATACTCTAAGTGTAGACTGGGGATAGCTGGTTTGAACACTTCCTGCATGATATACACCTGAGAGCTTGAGTTGCCTCTAAGTCCAATATGCCCTGCCAGGATGAGAACTAACATTGCTAATTTGATCATGGGCTACCCAAATCCACATAGTGTCAGACTGGGGAGTTATGAGCAGCTTGTCTTCATGGGGTACTGCTCAACTTAAGATCCTTCCCAGAGGTCATCTGAGGTAGGGCACAGATGAGGTCCCTCTGGGACCTGGATGGACCTAGGATTTTTGGTTAGCCCACTCCACAGAAGAGGAGTCTCAAAGTAGCCTTGAAGGCTATTTTCCAGTGTGTGAAGGGCTGCAGTGTGGCTGCAGTAGGATCCATGAATAAAAAGTTTCAGGAAAGCTCAACAGAAGAAAGTTGGAGCCTGCCAGTACTGCCAACGACCTGCTGCCCAGGTGAACACCTATTCCCGGGGAGCACGAGCAGTTCGGGGGATATTTGCCTTCAGAGGAAGGGTGCATCTGTCCCTTCCAATTTTGACATTCCAGGATTCTATTTCCCACAGTTTACCCAATTCCTCTCTGAGACTATTTGTGATTTCTGACCTGTATAACTTGAAAGTAGAAAGATAACATCCAGTCATCCCACCCCTGGCTGATTTCACAGGGCTTTAAAGAGCAACCTTTGACCCCTGACTCATGGCCTGTGATGCCTACTTGAAGTACCTTCCTGACAGGTGCCTACGGGAGACCTTCTAAGGTGGCTTTCCTGGAACTGATGGCTCACAGCCCCTCAGGTTAGTTGGGACCCTAGCTGCTTGGTGGGCTTCCGCTTGCCCCCTCCAACCTACTCTGCAGGGCCTGAGAGCAGCAGTCCAGTGCCCAGCTCCCTTTCTTGGGTTTCGGGCTCCTTGTGAGTGATGTCTGCATCTGGCTGGAAATTAAAACAACTGTCTGCATTGCATTCGGCCTGTCTGTCAAAACACAGCCCGGCTCTCAGCAGCTGGGAAAGGGGGCCCTGAATAGGAGCAGTGTCTCCAGCAACAAAGCCCACTTTCACGCCAAGTGCCACGGAGATAGTGAAACCCTGTTCTTCTCCAAACATGAAACCAACAGCACAACTATTTTTCCTGTTTCCTGGGCCCTCCTGGTGGGATTTTTTTTAATGCACTGAGTTGAAGAGTTAAGTGAAACAGGAAACATATCAGGGGGAGGGTCCTAAAACTTGAATTATTCTCTCCTCTAAGATCTAATAGCCATGCATAAACCAGAGAAAAGAAATGTCACAGTGACTGGGAGGAGACCCTCAAAGTCAGATGTTCCCATGGGTCTTTCTCTGTCCCTATATTCATGTGTTTCTATGTTCATTCATCAACCAATGCTCATTGATCATGTCCTCCATACAGGCCAGTACTAGGCACTTCAGGAGAATAAAAAAAAATAGCAGCATTAAAACACAGCCATCACCTTCAAGTTGCAAACAGACTAGCAATAAAAACAAGAAAGTGATGTGTGTTCCAAGAGGGGCATTGAAAGAGGGCTGAGGGAATTCAGAGTAAAGAAAAAAGAATACATTGGTATCTGAGCTATCTAGTATGAGAGCTACTAGCACCATTGAGCATTTGAAGGTAGCAAGTCCTAATTGAGGTAAGCTGTAAGTACACAACATATATTGGGTTCTGAAGATTTCATATGGAAAAGAAAATGAATAAAATATCACATCCATACTTTGTTATTGGCATATTGAAAGATAACATTTTCTATATATTGGGTTAAAAAAAATCTGCTTCTCCTACTTTTTGAAATTTAGTTGCCAGAAAAGCAAAAACTACACGTGTAGTTAGTTCATGTTTGTGGCTGGTGATTTATTTCTCTCCTACAGTGCTGCCTCAAAGGCAGAGATCCCAGGAAGCCTTCATGAGAGGCCTCACATGTGTCTGGTTACACAATGAAAACTATTTAGTTCTACGGTTTATGCAGATTCTAGGAGGAACAAGCCCATAAGCCAACATAGGAGAGCAGAGTTTCTTCAGACACTTTGTGTGAGGCCAGGGAGCCATGGGTGTGAAACTGGAAGGGCAGGCTTAGGTTCACTTGGGAAGGATGGGGAAGACACAGAGTGGGAATGTGTGATGTCTCTTGAGTGCTCCAGCCTGTCACTCCTTGGCCAAAAGAATATCCTCCATAGACAGGCGGCCTATGGCTATCAAGGAGCAAAGATTCTCCATGTATGGTCCTTGAACCAGCCCAGCTGCCATCACCTGTGAGCTTATTAGACAAGGAAATCCAGGGCTCTATTAATCAGAATTGCTGGGCTGGGTCCAGGAAATGGCTTTAAACATCTTTTCCCAGCAGATTTGCAGATGTGCTTAAAGTTTGAGAAGACTGTTAATAGATGACCTCAGCTCCTTGGGGAAGTCTTTTTTAAATGACAGGTCTTGGGCCCAGAAAAAAACAGAATCAAATCTGCCTTGAGGCTCTGGCTGAGAATAGAGTGACTTGAGGTAGGGGGCTGGGGTGTGTGTGTGTGTGTAGGAAAGTGACAGAACTCTTGGGGACCACTGATACCCAGGGAGAAATTGATTTTGCTAACTCTGAGGCTCTGACATCCTCAAAAGATCAAGTTCAAGCCTCTGGGGTCAGGGGCAGCCTCACGGTGGCCGATCAGGGGTGGCGCTGTCTTGGGAAGCTCCAGGAGGCCAGAGCGCTTTCTTCTGACAGTGTCGCCTGCACCGGGCGGCAAGCAGTCAGGCTTGGCTTTGTCAGGGCTGATTCCTGGTTAATGGGACACTCCCCTGAGACTTTAATTAGTGTTCATTTATGATTATTGCATTTTAATTATGCTTGAGGCTCCCCGTCCCCCCCTCCACCCTGAGTTGACCAGAAGCGGGCTGATGAGAGCCACACAGGGGGGAGGACGCTCTGTGCCCGCCTCCTCTACTGCTGTCACCCCAGGACCCATAGTGCTGTGTGGGGCTGCCTCGAACTGGATTCCACCCTCGCACTCCAAATTCTTTTCTGCTTGATCTTGTCTTGTAATTACGCCTCTAATGAATATAACTGTCCTATTAAGTCATTTACTTAAGAAATACTCTTAATTAAAGGTGACTCATACTGTGCTCTTGACTCCTTTGGCCCCAGGGCCCAGCGTCACTTCCCTGTGTCTTCTTGGCCTGATTCATTGGGACTGGAGATCCCTGTGGGAAGGGTGCAGCAAGGTGTGCAGAGCGTGGGGGGTGGTCCCCACTCCCACTCCCACTCTCCCTGTGCAACACACTGGGCAGCCCAGTACTGTTGGACTGGGGACATGAGATTATGATTGGCCACGGGGACAAGTCACTAAGGGAAATGGCTGGAACCAGCCTTGTTCCTGAAGATCTTGACAGACATGGTGTATCCTTAGGGTTTGGAACACAAAGAGTGAATCCAGGAGGGGCTCTGAGGCCCTGATA